CTCTGCCTCCTGAGAGCTGGGATTAAAAGTGTGTGCCACCAACAACTGGCTTGAAGTCTTTGCTTTTGCATTGGAGGTGTCGGCTCCTTGGGTTGGCCTAGGGCTCTTCAAACCTGGCACAATAGTTATACCTGGCCTTGCTTGGTCTCGTCACGACTCGTAACTACAGTCCGGTCTGAGAGACCAGACTCTGCAGGTTCTCAGATGATGTCTTTTTTGGTTCATTGCTGGGTCCTCCCCATCTACCAGAGAACAACTGGAAAACATGAACACATCTCCTGAAATACCGTGTGGATGAAAGTCTTTTTTGTTGTTGTCATCCATTGTGGTTTTGGCTGTCTTTGAGACATCTTCTGATTGGTCTTGGGTTTTCTGTTTTGCTTTGTTTTTCCTTTTTTAGGATTGTATTTTTGTTTTTTACTGTTTTTGAGTCAGGGTCTCTCCATGTATGGCAGGCTGGTCTCATACTCAGAAAGGTCCTCTGCCTCTGTCAAGATGAAAGGCAAGAGCCACCACATCCAGCTCTCTGGAGTCTTCTTGCCTTGGGCTTTCACGTGCTTGCTGAGTCCAGGTGCGAGTCACCACACCCTGCTGCACTCTCAAGACTGCTGTTCTTCGGCAGCCCTGTGAGTCTAAGCGAGGGTTACCACTGCTCGGAAGGAACACCATGACCAAAAGCAAGCAGAGGAGGAAAGGGTTCTTTGCCTTACACTTCCCCGTCACAGCCCATCGTTGTAGGAATCCAGGTAGGAACTCAAACAGGACAGGAACCTGGAGGCAGGAGCTCATTCAGTGGCCATGGAGGGTGCTGACTTGCTCAATCTGCTTCCTTATAGGATCCAGGACACCTGCTCAGGGTGGCTCCACCCGCAGAGGGCTGGGCCCTCTGCCATCAATCACTAATTAAGAAAATGCCCTACAGCAGGTTCTTATTGAGACATTTGCTCAGCTGAGGATCCCTCCTCTCCTGTGACTCTAACTTGTGTTGAGTTGACCCAAAATCAGCCAGCACACCGTTCATGAACTGTGTTCCCCTAAAGTTTGTGGCGGGAAGATGATTATATTTTGCTCTTGTGAAATACTAGGAGCAAAAGCCCAGGATGGTGCTTGGAACCGCACAGTGTCAGTAACATTTTAAATAAATGTTAGAAAGGCCATTTTCTCCACGTAGCTACATGACCCTTTTTCCTTGCGCCTGTATTTCTGTTTTCTGTGCTATCTCCGGGTAGTAATACTCCATACCAGCCCAATCACAGAGGCAAGCGAGTGCTTTGCCGGGGCTTCCGGAGTTGAACATTCATCTGTTGGCTGATATTCAGGATAACCACAGCAATGTTGACTCCAAAACACCTGGTATCTGTATCTCACACATCTGGAAGGCAGCTGGGTGCCCACGGAAGAAGGCCCTGGGCTGGAGTCCACTGTGTTCCCAGTCCCAGATTTACTTCCCTGAAGTGCAATTCTAGGAAAAGCAGAAAACAATGACCTGCCTGAGAAAGCCGGGAGCATCACTCTGTTCATCTCAGTTTACAACTGTTCCCTACAGGAGCCCTTGCCATTCCTGTCACTCACAGAGATCAGCCCACCCCTGCCTCCCAAACACTGGGATAACAGACATGACCACCATATTCAGCTAATTCAACTAAACTTTATTTTATATATGTGTCTGCTTTGTCTGTGTGTATATATGTGTGCACATGCATGTATGGTACCCGAGGAAGTCAGAAAAGGGCGAGTAAGATTCCCTAGGCCTGACATTGGTGACTCACGCCTTTAATTACAGCACTTGGGAGGCAAAGGCAGGCGGATCTCTGTTGAGTCTGAGGCCAGCCTGGTCTACAGAGAGAGTTCCAGGACAGCCTCCAAAACAATACAGAGAAACCCTGTCTCAAAAAAACAACAAAAAAGATTCCCTAGATAGGGAATTCCAACCAGTTGTGGACTGCTATATGAGTGTTAGGAATTGAACCTGGGTCTTCTAGAGGATGCCTTTCTTTTTCTGTCCTGGAGCTCACTCTGTAGACCAGGCTGGCCTCAAACTCACAGAGATCTGCCTGCCTCTGCCTCTGAGCACTGGGATTAAAGGCCAGCATTCCTGTCTTAGAAGACGTCCTTACCAATATGACAACTCTCCAGCCCAGGCCCCACCCCCAGCCCTTTTTCCTTCTCTTTTGTTTTCTAACAGAAGCTCACTGTGTAGCTCTGGGTGGCCTAGAACTTGCTGCACAGTGAGACCCTGGAAGCCTCAAACCCAGAGATTGCTTGCCTCTGCTTCCCTAGTGATGGGATTAAAGGCACAGACCACCAGGAAATTATTGATGTCTTACAGACTGACCTAATTGTTAATGGATACAATGCCAATGAGCAACCTATGTGGATGCTAGGAACTGAATTCCAGTAAACGGCAAGGGCCGCAAGTGACCTTAGTCACGGAACCACCATCCCCTCAGCCCTTGAATTTTTAAATTTTAACCAAATCCAATTTATCTACTCTGAAAAAAGTTAAATTTGTTAGTACTTTTTGTATCCTACAAGATGTATTGCAACTTCTACCTCTACGTACCTCAGCTAATGTAAATACTGGTGCAATAAACACAGGAGTGGTTGGGCATGATCACACCTGCCTTCAATCCCAGCAAAAGGGGACCTTTTTCAGTTTGAGACCAGCTTGATCTATATATCAGTTCCAGAATGAAGGGCTACATAGAGATCCTGACTTTAAATAAATAGATAGATAGATACCATGGAAGTGTATGGTACAAAGATATTTGTCTGTTCTAAAGCTTTAGAATTACAGCTTTTGTGTTTGTGCCTACAACATATCACAGATTAATTTTTGCATAATATGCTGACTGTGAAACTAAGGTTGGGAGTTTGTATTCATTTGTTTTTTTCTCTTGTCTACTGACGTCTAGGAATCTCAGCACTATTTATTGGCGCACCCCCTTCCCCCCATCCCAGGTTTAATTCTGGATCAGGGGGATTTGAGTCATATTCTGAGAGTCCAATGAATGACTGTTCTTAACCTTGCTCTTACCCCAGGCACCACAAACCAGCCCAGGGCAAATCAGGTGTTAGACAAGTACCGCGTTCCTGGGGGTTTCAGATTCAACTACATCTGCGCTACAAGTGCACCCAGGACTGCCAGCTGTCCTCCCTGGCACTGAGCACCATGAAGGGCTGAAGATTGCAGCACCAGGTGGGTCCCGCCGCGAGGGGTCGCTGCATGTCCAGAGGTCATAAAGTGTCCACACGCCCGAGGTTGGGAGCGCAGCCCAGAACCCAGTGAGCTTCCCATGCTGTGGAAGCCTGGGAGTGTCCGCGGGAACCTCCCTTCCGTCTCATTGTGAGCGGACTGGGCGATCGCCCCTCTTGCCCCCGAGAAAAGCAGAAGAGAAGAATCCCTGGGAGTGAATGGGAAGAACACTGCAATCTCTGTAGAGCGTGTCCTGGGGCAGATACCCTCATGCCAGCTACCCGGAACCCTCGTCTTCTAGTGCATAAGCGCCCCTGCTCCTCACTATTGGACCTCAGGCGGAGCCAGGGCCCATCTGTGCAAACCAAACATCCACTCCATCCCAATTCCACAGCCTCCTCCCCTGGGTTATTGCTTCTTAAGAATTAACCTTCACGACTGCAAACATTTTTTTTTAATGAGCATTTAATTAGACCCTAGTTATTGGAGGATCTATCTGGAAAGATTATTAGTATGATCAACAACTCAGTCTTTGTGACACCAGCAATTAAAACAGGTTTTCATTGTCACTCAGATAGAAACTGCAATAAATCTTTTATTGTCAAATTTTAAAAAGATAAAACCATCCCCATGCAGACATGGTGACAGGCAATAAGGCCCATCAGAGGTTCTAGGACTCTCTGAAGAGTTTAGAATCGCCTGTTTTGAAAACAGCTGCAACAATGCAAAGCAAATAGCTCTAGTCTTAAAAATAGAAATGGAAAGATGTTTCTCTCTGTAGAAAGAAACTTTTTTCCTTGAGACAGGATTTACAATGTAACCCAGGTTGTATTACAAGGGTGCACCACCACACCTGGCAAAAGAACACTTTTCATATCCTATAGAGAGCAAACCAGTCATTAGTGAAGAGGATGGGTTTTAAATCAGTTTCTGCTCATAACCGAAGACAGGCATGAGCTGCATACATAAGTGTTTTCGATTCTATGTATAACACAGAACCACTTTCAGTTGCCAGTGTGGCCTCAGGATACACTATATTTGAGGTTACGAGGGTCCACTGACTTTGGTCTCTGTGTGTTTTTTAAATTAATTTATTTATTGTGTATACAGTATTCTTCCTGCATGTATACCTGCACTACAGGTAAGAAGAGGGCACCAAATCCCATTATAGATGGTTGTGAGCTGATGGGGTATATGTTGTCTTATTGGTTGTTGGCCAATAGGGAAGCAAGATAGGTAGGACTAGGAGTCGAGGAGGATTCTGGGAAACAGAAGCACAGGCAGTCACAATGTAGGACACGGGAGAAGTAAGAGGTTCAGACCCTTTTTTTGGTAAGAGAGGACCACGTGCAAATACTCAGATTAGCAGTTATGGGTTAATAATTAGGTCAGAGCTAGCTGATAAGAAACCAAGCAGACGGCCAACAGCTTCATAATTAATGTCGTATTCATGTGTTATTTGGAGACTGAGACAGCTGCAGGACCCAGGTGGGAAGACTACAGGTTAAAGTGAGCTACCAAGTGGTTTTTGGGAATTGAATTCAGGATCTCTGGAAAAAGCAGCCAGTGTTCTTTTTTTTTTTTTTTTTTTTTTTTTTGGTTTTTCGAGACAGGGTTTCTCTGTGGCTTTGGAGGCTGTCCTGGAACTCGCTTGGTAGTCCAGGCTGGTCTCGAACTCACAGAGATCCGCCTGCCTCTGCCTCTCGAGTGCTGGGATTAAAGGCGTGCGCCACCAACGCCCGGCCGCAGCCAGTGCTCTTAATCTCTCTCTGAGCCATCTCTCCAGCCCCCACCCCCTTTTAAAAAAAATATGAAATGCTTCACACATTTGTGTGTCTTCCATGCACAGGGGCCATGTTAATCTTCTCTTTGTTGTTCCAATTCTAGTATATGTTCTGCCAAATACAATTAAATTAAGGGTAGGTATTTCTATATAGAAGATAAACAAACATAGGGTCATCGTGCATACAGAACGCAGTTCGAATCAACAATCTTCAAACAAATGCACATCAAAGCCGACTCATACCTGCTAGATTTGCTGGTACCAGGGTGGGGTCTACTTGGCAATGGTAGAGAGCTCGCCAGGCTCTGAAGGAAAAACAGAAAATAAGTGTTGACTGTAGAGAAATTGGGACTCTTGGACATTGCTACTGGAAAGTAAAGTGCTACAATCGCTGTGTAAAATTAAACAGTGATTCTTGGAAGGAAAATAAAAAAAGAACTATGTAATCCAGCAATTCCACTTCTGGGTATAAGCGCAAAAGAAGTGAAAGCAAGACTAAAAATTTTTTTGGCTTGGTTTTTCAAAACAGCTTTTCTGTGTAGCCAATGCCAGGCTTTCTTTTTTTGCCATCAACCAGCTCCCAAATCATGGCATGGAGACTTATTAATTACAAATGCTTGGTCTTGGCCGGGTGGTGGTGGCACATGGCTGTAATCCCAGCATGGGGGTGGGGGGCAGAGGCAGGCAGATCTCTGTGAGTTTGTGGACAGCCTGATCTACAGGGCGAGTTCCAGGACAGGCTTCAAAGTGACAGAGAAACCCTTTGGAAAAACCAAAAAGAAAAAAGAAAAGAAAGAAAAGAAATAGAACTAATGGTTGGATGTTGTGGGTGTGCTAAACACCATTGAATTGCATATTTTAAAATAATTAGTCCTTAATTTTATATTAAAAGACTTCTATGACAATGAAAACAAACAAAATACAACAGCCAGTTGGGTTGGTCATGGTGGCAGAAGGGTTAGGAGTTCAAGAACATTCTGAGCCTGGGCATAGCAGAGAATGACTTTAACTCCAGCATACTGGAGGTAGAGGCAGGTGACTCACATCTCTTCTGGATGCAGACATACATGCAGACAGAGCACTCATATGCATAAAACACATAAATAAATAAGCCTTAAAAACAAAATAAGAGCCGGGCATTGGTGGCACACGCCTTTAATCCCAGCACTCGGGAGGGAGAGGCAGGCAGATCTCTGTGAGTTTGAGGCCAGCCTGGTCTACAGAGTGAGTTCCAGGAAAGCCTCCAAAACAATACAGAGAAACCCTGTCTCAAAAAACCAAAACCAAAAAAGAGTATTTTGGGCTTTGTAAAGAGTTGGAGGCTGCCCAGCAAAGGTGGTACATGCCTTTAATCCCAGGATTTGGGAGGTAGAGTCAGATGGATCTTTGTGAGTTAAAGGCCAGCCTGCTCTACAGACTTGAGTTCTAGGATAGCCAGGGCTATTACACAGAGAAACCCTGTTTGAGACCCTGTTTCAAAAATAACTAACCAAAAATTTTTAAATCACCAATTTCACTAAAGATCCAGCAATACTAACCTCTGTTTCTAATTACAGCTATCAACTCTAGGCAATACAACAAAACAAACACAGGAGGTCCCTGAAAGGTGGAGAGAGGAAGTCACACCTGCCGGTGGCCCCAGGACCTGAGGAGTGACAGCATTAAGTGACCCTGCTTTCTTCCTGCCTTGTCTATTGTTTATTACACACTTAATTACTGTGTGTGGGCTATGTTTGTGGGTGAGTGTGCATGTGCCAAGCAGAGTGGAGAAGTCAGAGAACAACTTGCTAGACTCAGTTGTCTTCTCTCCTTCCTTCACGTGTGTCCCAGGGGTAGAACTCAGGTCACCAGGCTAGGTGGTGAGCCATCTTGCCAGCCCAGTTTCATCCACTTCTGCCATCAATGGCAGAAGCCCAGACTTGCAGCTCTGCTGGGATCTGAGAAGCAGGCTAGCCTCCCTCTGAGGTGCTCTCAGAGAAGTGCCAAGTGGGAGGGTGAGACTCCCTGGGCAGCCCTGAACTCACTTCCCCAGCCCACATATTCCCACCTGGAAAAGCTGGACTTCCATTCACCCTACCAGGAGAGAGCAGCCACTTCTTGTTAGTGGTAGAGACCATGGACACTGAGTGGAGAGTTAGAACTTCCCCTCAGCCAGCGGCCAGGCCATGAGGGGCGCCTGATAAAACCCAGCAGGTGCCTGCCCCTAGGAAGGACCCTGAACCCTTTCTTCCCAGCTGTGAGTGTTGGTGGAGACTGTCCAGGGAAGCTGGCCTTGGACAATATCAAAGTGGCACCCTCCCTCCCTGCCATGACACTGTCACAGGAGCCTTGGACCAAAAAGTCCATGTGTCCATCAAAAACCACACATATTGCTGCTGAGCACTCAAATTCATAAACCTGCCTTCGGTTCCCATCTTCCAAAGAAGTTAGGAAACAGAGACTGCTAAAGGAACGTGAACTTCTTTCCATTTGGGCTTAAAGAAAATGAGAGGGACCCCCTGGTTTCTCTCTGCCTTTCCTAGTTTGTTTTAGCAAAAGATGAAGTCAAAGCCCAGAAATCACACGTGTTGACCATGAACTGTGAAATGTCTTCCTGAGAAGTAAGCTCTACCCCTTGGGCCAAAGCTTAGAGCTCTTTGCTCTTCCTGCTTGGGATTCCCAGGGGAACTAGAATTCTTTAGAGTCCATTGTTCTAGGATATCTATTTCAGCAGCAGTAGCAAAGCTGACCTATCTAAAAGAAGAGCCAAGATCTTGTTCAGTGTGGTTGTTCTACCTAGTCCAGAGAACGGTCTACAGTGTTTATATTTTTGCTTTCAAATGAGTAACTTTATTAAGTCTGCAGCATTGCAAAGTAGAATATAAATAGTAAGGGATAGGCGATAGACAGACAGAATGACATCAGGGACTCAGGTGCTCAGGACAGCCTGCAGGAAGCATCTGGGGAAGTTGAGGCAGTAGCTGGAGTTCCCAGCTGACATTCATGGCTGAGCTCTGGTTGCTCTTTCCTCTCTAGGCACTTTCATAGCCTCAGTAAAGAACAGTGACCTCTGGGGGCACTCGTTTGCCTTCTGATCTTAAGGATGTGGCATTTTTACTCTTGGGCTGTTTTGCTGTTCTCTCTCCCTGTCACAGACTTGGAAAACATTTTGAGGCAAACGTACTTGGGTCTGAAATGGGGAGTAAGGCAACCCCAATTTCCAGAGCCTGATTTTCAGTGCACTCAAATAACAATTTATCAGTTTAATGTACATTGCCATGACCTCACTGGGCACAGGATTTAAAGCCAAGCATCTCAGTGTGGGCATTCAGTGTAAGCAGTCAGTGTGGGCCCTCAATGTGGGCACTCACTCAGTGTGGGAACTAAACATGTATAACCCTGCATAAATAAACTTTAAATAGCTCAACAAGGACAAACTTTAAAATAAACATTAAAAAAATCACTTATACCAAGATCTAGGAAAACCTCAACATGAATGAGAAAAGATTGAGACAAGATAAGTATAAAAGGGAGGATTTGGGGCAGGAAAAGAGGCCCCTAACCCCGGGATCTAGTTTCCTGTTGTCTTAGAGTCAACAACTTCAACACAGCTGATACAATGGAAATTGCCTCCAGAGATAGTATTCCTAAAGTCACCGTAAACAAGAAAGTTCAGACAAGCAATCTAAGCTTATTTGGCCACAATGTTTGTAGTTGGGACTTGAGCAGAGTCCACCCTCTTTCATCCCCAAAACCTAAACAATGGGCCTCATAAAACCACCCTTACCTCATTTGCTGAAGGAGCTTCCTTAAAGATAAGCCAACTGACTCATGCCTTTACTTTACTTTGAAACTCTGCTTCAAATCTGAGTTTTGCTGAATCTTTAAATCTTGTTATAAATTACATCCATTGAACAATGTCACTTAGAAAGCCACGGTGACTCTGTTACCAGAGTTTCTAGGGTACCGGCCTGGGCGCTGGCAGCTGCAACAAGCTAGGCTTGGCCCATGGGCTCAATATGCCAGCTAAAAGAGAAACGAAGTGAGCTTTATCCAGTGTGGCCGTATGGGGAAGGGGAATAAGCATAGGGGATCCATCTTCAGGTGCTTGAGGTTTAGTTTCAAGCAGGGGCAAGAGCTATGCATAACTGAGCAGTCCTGGGCCAAGGTGCTCATGTCCACCACTGGTCTGCCCTTGTCTTTGCTCCAGTTTCTCCTGCAAAGTGGCCCTGAGTTCTCAGAACTATGTGAACATGGCTTCCTGGAAGGCAAGTTCCCCCTGTAGCTGGTGCCAGAGCTTTTCCCTCTCCCAGCATAAAGTTCCTAGGGAATTTTGAACTCTGAGCTGCTTCTACTGGTGGAGATCCCTAAAGTGTATGGGTGGGTGGTGGTGTTGCTGGTTTCATCTTCTTCATGCTGCTGACAAGATGACTGCCAAAACTTAAATGACATAGATGCTAGAACTGTCTGGAAAAAGTTTGGCTTCTGTTTTGGGTTTTGCACTGCTAGGAATCGAACCTGATGCCTGCAAAGCAATGCACTCATTTGCAGCCCTCATAGTAGGGTTTTAGTGAGCAATCACAACCACGGGTAAAAGAAAGAAGAGCCGGCTGGGCGTTGGTGGCGCACGCCTTTAATCCCAGCACTCGGGAGGCAGAGGCAGGCGGATCTCTGTGAGTTCGAGGCCAGCCTGGTCTACAAAGCGAGTCCCAGGACAGCCTCCAAAACAATACAGAGAAACCCTGTCTCGAAAAACCAAAAAAAAAAAAAAAAAAGAAAGAAGAGCCAGGTGGAAAATGTTTAGAACACACACACACACACACTCACACTCACACTCGTGCACACACACACACTTCAGTGGGTGAATTCAACAGCCCAACATAGGGACCAAGGAAAGACCAAGAGAAACAGGAAAGAAAGAACAGCTGGAAAAGGATTTAAAGACACAGTGACTCAGCTGGGCTGTGATGGCACACACCTTTAATCCTAGCACTTAGGAGGCAGGGACAGGCAGATTTCTGTGAGTTCGAGGTCAGCCTGGTCTACAGAGCCAGTTCCAGGACAGCCAGCTGTTATGCAGAGAAACCCTGTCTTGAAAAACCAAAAATAAATAAATAGAAATAAATAAAGAAGCGGTGGTCAATAGT